ATATCTGGAATGTGTGTCTTACATATCTGAAATGAATAGAACCACTGATTGCAATGCCAGGTTTTTGGTTGAACATGGACCAAGTAAGGGGTGTAGCAGGGCGATCAAATGGGTAAATAATGGAGATATCATGGGATATGTATCGAAGAATGTGATTTTTGTGGCTTCAAACGGTGCTAGTCGCTGCTAGTCCCAGGAATCATAAGCGGGTAACAACCATCTGCAGCAGTTCAAAAAGTTCGACGAATGGATTGTAAACTATGGAAACCAACTCGAATGCAGATCCTATAGCAATGTGGGGCCCCCCAGTGATTCTAGTTGGTTTATAAACCCGATTGACTATAGTTATAAGATGTTATAAGTTATTGGCGTATCATAAACCATAGTGATTTGAGTTATAAACCAACTTAGCTATCGTTTGTTTGCCCCACATTGATGAGTCGGGGGAATCCCAACATCACCCCAACAAAAGTCAGGTTGGTGAAGTATTGTGAGGTCTATTCTTCAGCTAGTGGTATCCATGACTTTTTTTTTCGATTTTCCACCGCTCCAGGATCAATGAGATCCATATTTTCATCCGCAATTCATGTATGCAAATATCGAATCATGAGATTCTGGGACCATTTGCTTGTCATAGAAGTTTGTTGGATCAACATAAAATGACAGATCTGAAGAATCGTGGGATTGTGCATATTGTTTCCTCCATGTTGCCTGTTTATAACTAATTAGCCAACATAGGGCTTGAGTCATAAGCGACTTACGTCAACCAACCAGCCATCATGGTTCCCATCTTGTCACCACTTCTCCAGGATGATTTTTTGGGACCCACGCCGTGCACGCAGGTGGGGCTATTGGAAGATGCCTCCTCGTAATCCCCAGTGCCTTGCACCAGTTGGTAAGCACTAGGATCCACTATGAAACACGGTACCCTCTGGTAATTTAACATAGCTATTGAAAATGGCAATTTATAATTGATTTTCCCATTAAAAATGGTGATTGTCCACCGTTTTTTGTATGTTTACCAGAGGGTAAATGATGAGATTTTGCCCTTAATACTGGTGGATTTCACAACCGCAGTATCTTTCGCCATCCCATGTGCCAAAAAATATGGAGGTGTCCAAAATTTCACGGGTGGACCAGTGATCATCCCATCTTTTCAGATGTTTTTCATGGGATTTTGCAACCATCCAGCTGTTGATAGCTGTTGCTTCTCCCGAGGGTTGATGATTTGCCTACATGTTATCATATGTTATTCATTAAAGTGCCAAATGACCAGAAGGTACATCGGGATAGAATAGATCATATTTATTTACTATATAGACAAATATATATATATATTATTATATAATAAACATTTATATAATATATATCATTATAATAGATCATATATATATATTTTAATATATAATATATCATATTATATATACTATATAAAATATATTTTTTAAATATTAAATATATAATATATAATATTGAATGTATAATATATAATATAATATATAAAATATATAATATATAATATATAATATATAATATAAATATAAATATGTAATCATATAAAATATAAAATATAATATATAATAATATGTAATATCTAATATATTATTTATAATCATAGATAATATAAAATATTTAACAATATACAATATATAATATTTAACAATATACAATATATAATATATAATATTACATATAAAATATAAAATATAATGTATAATATATAATGTATAATATATAATATATAATATATAATATGTAATATATTATATAAAATATAAAAAATATAATATATAATATACAATATATAATATAATGGCTTCATGCTCGCGTCGGGCGTTCTCAAATTCTGGGGAGAACCATTCTGCCGGGGAGATCGTCAATTCGAACGGGTTCACCACAAACCACATCGAGAACAGGTGGAGCCTTGTGAAGCGTTGGGTTTGCAAGCGCATGGGAGGACGCCTTCCGCTTCACTCAAACAGAGAGAAGTGGACCAGGCTTCTGAATGAATTTCATTGGCGATCGTGGCGCATGGCCACAGCTTGGACTGGGGCAATACGTGGTATGTGCCGCTGACAGAGGCTATGGCCACGTTGCGATCATATTCCCTGACCTTGGGACGCGGCCAGTGAGGAGATGTGCCCATACGCGGCACCGTGTCTATCTGCACCTTTCGCATTCATGTAGATGCATGCGCTCATCTGAGCTTGAAACCCTTTCCAACGATAGTAGGTACTTAAGCGAGTCTAGACACTGTTCCAATTTGCAGTCTTATAGATTCAAGCTTGGACGACGTCTACAAAGACAGCATAGCGACGGCAACGACAGCCCATTTTCTGTTGAGCGTGCCTGAAGGTGTCTCCTCTCAGCGTGGCCGTGGGAAAAAGAAGTAAGCTTTGGCTGTGGAGTGCTGCTATGTCACGGGCCTGTCATAGCGCTTGGGAACTTGATCACGGATAAGCTTCACTTCCATGAAAACCTTTGCATCTCTGAGCAGGTTGCCAGCGTACTGTGGCCTCGAGATAGTTCCTCAGCTGCAATGCGAATGTGCAACATGTGAACAACTGCACCGTACTCAATGAAGATGCCGGCTGCTGCCCCGCGAGCTACCTCCCTGAACAGGATGTGCATAGCTGCACAGCTGCACACCCAGTTACTCACTGGAGACGCTGACTGCTGCCCCAGTAGCTCAGTAGCTGCCTCCCTGAACAGGATGTGCATAGCTGCACAGCTGCACCATCAGTTACTCACTGGAGACGCCGACTGCTGCCCCAGTAGCTCAGTAGCTGCCTCCCTGAACAGGATGTGCATAGCTGCACAGCTGCACCGTCAGTTACTCACTGGAGACGCTGACTGCTGCCCCAGTAGCTGCCAGCCTGAACAGGCAGTGTAAAGCACCTGTATGTTATGGTTGATTTTCCTGTGTCCTTATATATTTTACGAAATACATACTGAATATCCTAACATATGCCTTTATAATTAGTTAAAGGAAACGAGCGTGAAGCGTTTTATATGGGGAAGTTCTGTATTAGAAAGTCTGTACAAGTGAGATCGGAAATGGAGCGGTCAGGTCCTCGAGTGTGAAGTTTCTTTGTTCGGCTGCAGCCATTTGCAAGAGCACATCACACGGGCGCGCGCACACACTCCTAGACACGTAGTTCTTTGCATATACGTTCCAGCAACAGTGTCGTAGGGAACGCGCAATGCTGCCAACAACGATCAGGCGACTGCTTGATGAAGTCATCAGAGAGCGCCGTGCACTAGGGAATCTTCCTGGAGAACCACAGCCAACCAACCCCGCAGGCAGAAGGGTTCGAAGCGAGAGTCCAGTCACACCAGTGCAAGGTCATGGACAGCAGACGCATGTGAACGATGTAGCTCTGCATGCACCACAGTCGGGTTTGTGGCAACGACGAGCTGCACACGGGGGCGGCTGAAACAGCGCGAACATGCATGATGCTCTTTTTTTCCCTTCCGGCAAGGCCGGAAGGCTGCTGTGAGCGACATGTGGCAGGTGCAGTGCAAAAACAGCAGCGTGCGCGCGTGGGCAAAGCACTCGCAAATTAGAACGCCCAATAGGAGCATTTAACCAATAAAATATTTAAAATAAAATATAAAATATATGATATATAATATATAATATATAAAATATAATATTTAATAATATAATAATTTTGAATATATAATATAAATATTAAAAAACAATATATAATTTATAATATATAATACAATAATATATACTATATAATATATAATATATAATTTA